ATCAGAATTTACATTATTCAGATTGATTGCACATGAATAAACACATATATAGACTTTTTTCTCGGGTTTTTAAAAAAAATTAATTTTTTACATTAGCTTTGTAACAATAAAAAAATATATTATTGAAACTATTTTATAACAAGATTATGATATAAAATTCTGACAGACATCCCAGAAGGGGTAAGGAGAACTAACCACACATCGATGAATGAAGATTTACTCTATTTTAGTTCATCGATATGGGATCTCCGTTTCATTTCCGAGTCTGGGGGTTCAACGAAGATAGTATGCCATTATCAATAAATTGTTCCGAAGGAATGGACCAATATTGTCCATTTCGTTTCGGACCTATATAAATATAAAATAAATATTGCGACGTGCCAGGTTTGGACTATATCGACTGCTTCCCTCATTTTATATGAGGCATGTGATAATTTTTAGAAAATGTTACAAGTGTGCGCGGGGTACCACACATGTGACCCTTGTTGTCGGTAAGGTACCAGAAGGGGTTCGCAGATATGTATATGTAATTTTCACAACAGATCTTGCGTTAGCAAAAATATGTGGATGTGTGAAATTTGAAGAGATTTGTATGCTTTTTTCGCATTCTTTGAACGTTTTATTTTTAAAAAAATGTTGAACCCTATGTGGGGGAGGTACCAGAAGGAATGGTCCGATCTCTGCCATCTTTATAACAGATCTTGTGTTGATAGAAATATTGAAATGCGCCAAGTCAGAGTGGAATCGGATGTGTTTGAACACATCCTGATGCTTATTTAGGATTTTATAATCATTTTGTTTTTTTTTTTTTTTAAACATTAACACTTGTGGGGGAGGTACCAGAAGGAATAGTCTGATCTCGACCATCTATACAACAGATCTTGTGTTCATAGGAATATTGAGACGTACCAAGTCAGAGTGGAATCGGATGTCAATTTAGCGTTTTCTGAGCTTCGTGGATATTCAAAATTTCGACCTTTTGTGGGGAAGGTACCAGAAGGAGTAGACCGATATATTCCGTCTTCACACCAGACCTTGAGTTAATAAAAATATTGTGATGTGTGTTGAAGACAATCGGACGCTAACATCACATTTTATAAGAGTCATAATTATTCAAAATTGTGAACCTTTGTGGGGGAGGTATTCGATGGAGTGGACCGATATTGTCCATTTTCGCAGCTGACCTAGCACTGATGAAAATATTAGGATTTGTAAAGTTGGAGCGAAATTGGATTATTATTTATCTTTCTGCGCAAAAAATAAATTGTTTTGAAAATTTCTACCTTTTGTGGGGGTGCTACCAGAAGGAGTAGACCGATATATTCCATCTTAATACCAGACCTTGGCTTAATAAAACTATTGAGATGTGCGAAATTTGAAGACAATCTGGCTTTTAAATCATATTTCATAAGAGTTATAATTATTCAAAATGTTGCCCTTTGTGGGCGAGATACTGGATGGAGTGGACCGATATTGTCAATTTTCGCACCTGACTTAGCACTGACGCAAGTATTAGGATTTGTAAAGTTGAAGGAAAATCGGATTAACGTTTCTCTGTCTATGCAGAAAATATTTATTTATTAATTATTTTTTATTGAAAATGTCTACTTTTTGTGGGTTAGATACCAGAAGGAATGGACCGATAATGTCCATCTCCTAAGTCGATCTAAGTTTGATAATAATATTACGATGTACCAAGTTTGGACAAAATCGGATACTCTCTTCAAGAGTTATCGTACACACCAGCCAGGCAGACAGACAAACGGACGGACATCGCTACATCGTTTTTTTCGACTAGACACATTTTGACAAATGATATATACCCTCTCTAGCCATATCTGCTAAAAAATGTGACTAAAATAGCCAAAATACCAAATATTCGGAAATACCGACTTGTGAGTGATAAAAGAAATAATGAATAGGTCCATTAGCAGCACTGAAGACAGGAACCATTACAAATTCTACATACCGAATATTAAAGGATTCCCCCTAAAAATATGTGTCTAAAATCAAAATAATACCGAATATTGGGAAGCACTTAAAAATGGGGGTTATCGGAAAACGTGAAGCTATATAAGCCCATGATCTGCCAAAGGAGCTAAAACACATTACCAATCCAATGTACCAAATTTCAAACAAATGTCATTCTGTTGGAAAATTTGATCTAAATTGTCAAAATACGGTATATCAATTTGATGTTTCTATCATTTATGACTTTTTCTCACCAACTATCGAACATCGTAAAAGTATAAAGTGATATTTAAATAAACAAACTAACGGAATTGTTCTGAAATGACTCATATACCTAACCACCAAACCAAATACAATTAAAATGATGTTAACGCAAAGAATCACAACAAATGGCAACAAATCAATCAACACTTATGTGCACCAATACCAATCAATCAAACTAAATTTGTATGTAAATACTATGGACATTGGGGTGTATTGTGTCAAATATTATTAAGATGTATTGCCAATTAAATTAATCTTAGTTAAATTTGTCAATCGAGTTGTTCTTATTTCATACAATATTTTCAAGCAGCCCAAAAGAATGATGATTGATTTTTTATTAAATTACTTTAAAACATCTTATTGAGATTTACATGCATAAAAAAGTTAAAATGGAGGTATCAGAAGGAGCGGACCAAGAAATTTTCAATTTACAACAGATCTCTGACTGTTGATAGACCAAGTTTGAAAAGAATCTCTGACTTGACCCGTTGTGGGGGGAGATACCAAAAGGAATATATTCCATCTTTACATCGGATATTGTTTTAGTTGAAATATTGAAATTAGTGAATTTTGAATCAAATTGGATGTTCAATTCCAATTTTATGAAATATTGACCGCATGTGGGAAAAGTACCAGAAGCAGTGGGCCGATATCTACCATCTTGTGTTGATAGAAATATTAAGATGGGCCGAGTTATAATGGAATCGAATGCTTATTTCGTTTCAAAAATTTTGATCCATTGTGGGAGAAGTATGTACAGGGTGACATGAAAAAAACTGCAACCAACTTCAGACTGCTGTCATTTCTAAGCCACTCGTCCGACAGCTGTTAAAATTATTCCAGTGACAGCTCATTATATTGTCTACAAGCGTACAAAAGCATTTTGGTGAGAATTTTCCAGAAAAAAAAGTTATTAGTGATGGTGTGATTTCTTTATATTTGGCTGGAAAACCACAAGTGGCTATCGTTAGAGCACTCCAGCATTTTCATGTGAATAAATCTTTTGCGTCTCGTACCATCGCTCGTTACCGTGATACTGGTAGCGTAGCCTGTCGATAAGTGAAGTGGAAGTGGTCGGAAGAAAACAGCAACATCATCAGAAATGGTTTGAAAAGTAAAGAAGCGACTTGACTGAATCCCACGTCGCAGTGGCCAAAAAATGGCTCGCGAGCTGAACATATCGCAATATTCCATTCGTCAAATATTGAAAAATGAGCTCGGGGTAAAGGCATTGAAATTCCAAACAGTGCAAGAACTTACACTGCAACAGAAAGAAAATAGACTCAAAAGACCTAAAGAGTTGCTTGGCTGAAAGTGGTGAACTGCCGAAGTTGGTTTTTTCCGATGAGAAAACATTCGTTATCCAGCAGTTTGTAAACAAACAAAATGATCGTGTTTACTTGCCAAAGAAATCAGCTGAAAATGTGCACCTTCGGTTGGCCACCAGAACTCAAGCGCCGGACATGGTGATAGTGTGGGCCGCCATAACAGCCAATGGTCGCTCTCCACTCGTATTAATCGACCGTGGCATCAGAATAAATGCCGAATATTATCGCGAAAATATTCTGGAGGGTGTATTAAAGCCTTGGTCACGCAAACATTTTGGCCCCAGACCTTGGACATTCCAACAGGACTCAGCACCATCGCACTCAGCACACGCCACCCAAGAATGTTTACAAAATGAGGTTCCTCGCTTCATTTCAAGCTCAAAATGGCCACCAAAATGTCCGGATATCAATCCGTTGGGCTATTGTGTCTGGAGTATTTTAGAAAGCAAGGTTGGCATTAAAAATACCAGTGTCGATCACATCACGCAGCAAGTTAAATGTGTACCAAATGGCCAATAGCAGTCCGACGGAATTCAGTCTCGAAGCAAGTACAGCGAATTTGGTGAAAATCAATTCAGATATAGCTATAGCTCCCATATATATGTTTCATCTGATTTGATATTTAAATCCCTCACAATTCTTTTGTTTCGGGAGCTCTACTAAATATGCATGGTGGTGTAGGGTATCATATAGTCGGAAACGCCATACCTTTGACTTTTCCTTACTGGTTTTTCATATGCCCAAACTCGCTATTCATAGAACAAATCAATAAAAAAGATTGAAATCTAAAGTTTCTGCGGGTTTCTTTCGTTTTCATTATCGAATCGACATACAATTAAACAGGCCTCTAATTTGCAATCGCTTGTTATAAATTAACACCCAAAAATCGCATGTACAGTAACAATATAATCAGTAGGCTGATTAAACTTAGTGCTTTCCAAATACCAATTGGGAAACATCATGGCTTTGATTGTTCCCGAAATAGATATTGGTAGCTATAAATATATTTTTAGAAGTTATAGCTATTTTTAAAAAAAATTGTTAAATTTAGTCATTATCCGGAATAAACCTGCAACATTGCATTATATGTGATTCGAGCAAAAGGTTTGCATTTTGATAACACCAATGACCGGCTGAGAACAGCTCACACATCACAATGTACATCTCGCCTGCATCTTGACAAGCAAATCCGTACAAAACGGAACGGAATGACTCAATCTCCCTGCTCAAGTTTAGATAACAACACGAAAAACAATTACAATTAATAAATGTCTCACAATAATAACAACAAAACAAGAATTAATGGAAATCACAAGACCCCCAGCATGCATTGTGGCTTTGCATGTCGCAGTGTAATTTCGCCTCTCTAAGCAATGACAGAAAGAAACAACAACTTAAATTTCCAATCGATATAAAGACAACAACATTATCAATTACCTACCTTCCTTCGTTTTTGGATCCGGCCAATGTGTTTAATTTTAGATTTTATGCCACAAGGCAGGCAGCAAAATTTATTGTTAACCCCCTTTCTTCTGTGGGTTAACAACAGCAACAGACAAAAGGAAGAGAAATCCAATTGATTGATGTTATTGCCTGGTACATGGTACGGCGCGGAAGAAAGAACTTTTCCAAACCCCCAATCAAGGTAAGGAACGGTTTGTTTTTGTTTTCTTTGTGTCACACACTCTTCTCTTGGGTTTTGTTAATCTTTGGAACTTTTCTGTGTGCAAGTGTTGCTCTGCTTTTGTTTTATCCTTCTTTTTTGTTAAATAACTACTATTCAGTCTTTCTTTGTTATTTGTAAATGACTTTTTTATAGCATAGCTTTATTAATTTGTTTCACTTAGAAATTTTCTTCTTAATTACTTAATTTAATTTCATAGAAAATATCACTTGGTTTCGGTATAAGTTGTAGTTGTTCCCAGAACGAAATCAATTGTTTTTTTTTTTTCGTTACAAACTATAAACAGTAAATAAAAACGTCTCCAACGCAACGCACTATATCAGTCGACCCCGATATGCCATTTCTCCGTATTCCGTGCGCTATCACAAACAAAAACAAATAAAAAATTATTTAATTTCTCGTCCCCCTATCAATAATAGAGCTGACAAGAAAATCGATAACACATAATCGATATTTTCATCAAGAACAAAGAACCAGCTGAGAGCGATATTGTCAAAATGACAGAAACGAGAGAACAGGGTGTTTCGTTGCATTGCATACAGAGGTGGGTTTTTTTTTATTAGACAATGCAAAAAGAAACTGCTGAAAGTTCCGACTTCCCATGGTACAACTTCTAAAGGAGATATATGTAAAATTCAATCTGTGGCAACAACTTTTACAAAAAATAACGAAAAAAGAAACTGGTAAATATAAAGCTGACAATCGCGCTAGACAAGTTCGTTGTTCGCTGACTTATTTTAAAGAATAGCTGACTTATTTTGCAAGTTATGACAGATAAAAATATTGAAAATTGTGAACCTTTGTGGGTGAGGTACCAGAAGGAGTAGACCTTCACAACAGAACTTGCGTAAAATAAAAATATTTGGATGTGTGAAATTTGAAGAGAGTCGGATACTTATTTCGCTTTCTTTGGGCGTTTTGTTTTTCAAAAATCTTGAACCCCAGGAGGTACCAGACGAAGTGGTCCTATCTGTACCAGTTTTACAACAGATCTTGTGTTGATGGGAATTTTGAGATGTACCAAGTCTGAATGGAACCAGATGTTAATTTCGCGTTTCATGAGCTTCATGGATACTCAAAATTTGGAAACTTTGTGGTGGAGGTACCAGAAGGAGTGGACCGATATATCCCATTTTCGCAACAGACCTTGCGTTGATAAAAATCTTGCGATGTGTGTAATTTGAAGAGAACCGGATGCTTATTTCGAATTTTATGATCGTTTTGGTTATTCTAAATTTTGACCTTTTGTGGGGGAGATACAAGAAGTGGACACATATTGCTTATCTCCGAACTCGATCTGACGGACGGCCTTCACCAGATCGACTCCAAATGTCCTGAAACGGATTTGGTCCAAAGGGATTTAAGGTCTAAAACTGTTATTTCGATGAGGCAAGTTTTGACCGTATCAAATGATATATACCCTTTCTAGCCATATGTCTGAGGCTATAATAAAGGCCAATTGCCAAAAGGCAAGTTCAAAAAGGAACCATAAAAACTGCAGTCAGTAAACTCGCCTTGTATAAAACAGGACTATCAAAGCAGAAGTTCTAATTTCCTTACACAGAATACAACTAAGTTTTACGTTTAAAGAATAAAATAGATCCCACATTTGGGCCGCTATCACATAATGTTGTGTTGTTGCCGAAATTCATGCTGTAATGTACATTATCATTTAGCTTTGTTTAGCAGACATTTCACACATATAAGAAGAAAAAGAATTATTTGAAACACCCTGTGATTTGCTGTCAAGGCGTATTTGTCTTGCCTGGTTGCGAATGTTGGAAATGAGAGAATGAAAAGAGGAGAGGAGACTTTTAAGACGATTATTCTTCATTTCAAATTTTCATAGAAATTCTTATTCTCTCCTGATGATTTTGATTTTTTTCTCCTTATGATTTTAGTTATTTGCCGTGATAAGAATTTAAATCGGCATTCCACCAAAAAATAATCGACTGTAAGAACCCTAATACCTAATCGATCTTTAGTTCCCTATTCAATATTATAATATTTGTTTTGATTCCCAAACTTTATCGATCATTTTTATTATTACCTCATTCGTTTCGAAGATACCATATCGTTTATTTCCAAGGTAGATGTACTAGGTAATCGCATCAGCCCAGCTGACGGCACCATTAAATGTCAAAACAAATTGTTGTAATGAAGAATTCGCCCTAAATGAATGCAACAACAAATTTGTTTATGTTGTCTTCCCTAAAAGTACTTTTTTATAATATTTCAAATAATTTAAGAGCAAGTTAAGAGTGAAACCAGTAAAAAAATTAAGCCTCAACATCTAAGATTCCCAAAGCACATCACGGGAAGTAGTGCAAGAATTCGATTCTTGTCATTTGCTGTTCCGGAAAACTTTCGGTTTAAACCAGTAAAATATAGTCATTATAAGTTTCTTGGTTTAAAAAATATCGCAATACTACAATTAATACTTATTTTACTCTTATTTGTTTTACAATAAAAACTTTTATTGCGACGTTCGTTTACGACGAGAGGCACACAAAACAAACACCTCGTTTCTGATTGGTTGAAACAAATTTGCCGCAACCTATAAATGTCATGGCGAATCTATGTTTTTCGCCTTAGATGCCAATTTTGACATTTGAGGGGACCACAAAAGTTGCTTTGTTGTAGCAATTCGCCGATGCGGTTACCTGTTAGATCTACCTTGGTTTATTTCTAAGCATCTTGACAAAGAGTAAGCGAAAAAACAGTCATAGTTTATGTTCCGTGGGTTTGGTTTAGAAGCGGAGAGATATTACGGATATAAATAAATTGTAATTAACAACAAAAATTACGCATTTCAAGTGGTGGTGGTTACAACAAACAATAATTGTTCTTGTTTTGCAGAAAAAGAGTTTCTTCGAGTTTCCACTCGATAGAAAACAATGGCCAAAAGCATGAAGAGCATGAAAATGCCCATGGGTGGACAACAAACAAATCCAGTCTCGCCAGACACTGAGAGTGCATCCGGTCTGGTTATACCCATGATAAAGACCAAGGATTGTCCCAAACAACTGCCCATTTACACGGCGGCCTTAAGTAAACCAGCCGAAGATTATTTGGCTGCCGAAGATTTGGATAATATACAACTGGAATTGGAGAAACTGCTGTCCAGTGTGGCGCTACGTTATAGGGTATTAAAATTGGAATATGAAAACATTGATAAAGATGATAAGAACAAAGATAAGAAGAGTAAACATTCGCTGCAGCTGTTGGGCGCTCAGACGGGAGAAAAACAACCCACCTCTCCGGCAACGGCCATGACCAGCAGTGGGAAACGTAAACGGGATGAAACTTCATTGGTGCGCAAACCCAAGCATGCAACATTGAAACATACCAAGAATCTACACAACAAAAACAGTCCCCTGGCCCAGCAGACCGATGATAGCATGGACTGTGTGCCAGGTGTACATGGTGCCGGTCGGGATGTACAAAAACCCATACCCGCCAAAATTGATACCCCAAACAAATTTTGGCTTTCTGTGGAGCCTTATTGTATGCCTTTGACAAATGAAGATCTACGTTTGTTGGATGATTTAATGGAACAATATAATGGGCCATTGGTGCCACCAATACCTGAACTGGGGCCACACTACTCCACCATATGGGCTGCGGAGGATATGAAGGAAATACAACAGGCCTCCAATCCGAATGCGAACAATCGTTTGAAACCCCAGAATAATGGTGGTGTTGGCAACATGCTGAAAAAGGCCGATTCCATTGTGGATGAATGTGTGACAGGGCCATTGACACAGCGTTTGGTCTCCGCCCTCATGGAAGAACAATTGATAACAAATCCAGCCGATGTGGTGGCCGACAATAGCAACAGCAGCAGTGAAAATACCCATTCCTCGGCTGCAATGAGTTTCCGCTCGTTGTCAATGCTGCGCAATTGTATTGGCATTGAGAAACGTGTCAAAAAGGAACTCATCGAACAGGGCATTTTGGACATATCAGATTTTCCCAACAATGACGAAGATGAAATACATGCGGAAATAAAGCGATTAGTTGGTGAACTTTCGGCCATTGCCGAACACAATAGCAATGCTTTGAAACGTCTTCACGAGGCGGCCACCGAGGAGATAAAACGTTTGGAAGTTAAACGTAAACTAGACGCAATTGATCAGGAAATATTGGAAACCTATAAAAGAACTCTGCAGACAAAGGCTAAGCGTAAGCCGTTATCGCCGGAAGAACAGCAGGAAATCTATCGTTTGACAGCCGAACAAAAGACACTCTCCGATCAATTGGAACGTATGCAAGCCCATCAGTTTCCAATGGAATAGGATAGCAAAAGAAAAAACAGAAATAAATGTATTGATGAATATTTAACAGAACTCAGCGACAAATTGTAGGTGTGTTAACAAATTCCCAAAATATATTCAAATTGAAATTGCCTCCTATGTATACAAAATTCGTATTTTTTTTCTTTTCAAAACTATTTAAACTGCCTATTTAATAAAAACAAAAATTAAATATTAAATGAAGGATAAAAGACACTTACTTTGAAGGATGTATTTTTCTTTCTTTTTAGAGGACTATCATTTAAATACACAATTTTTAAATGTTCTATTATATTTCAATTAAAGACGAATAATGCACGTCTTTAATGCACCGCCAAATGGATGGAACTGAAACGATTAAAGGCCTGCAAGTATTATAGAAGACATCGATTTTGGGAGGCACGATCTTGACTAAAGTAAATAACCCTTTTTTTGTATCGTAATCTTATCTGTTACTTGTAAAATTTTAGTTAATTAGAAAATATTCAATTCAATGAAAGACGATATTCAAATTAAAATGTAAATATTAACACAGCCAACAAGGGTAAGAGAACACGACTTTGTTTGCCAGATAACAAGAAAAAACGGAAGTAATGTTTGTGGCGGAAATATTTTCAAAATTAAGACAAATAATTGGAAACCAAAAAAAAAAAGGACAAGGCAACCATGAAAAAGACCTAAAAAATCCACTATTATTGGTCTGATATTGATTGGAAAATTGGATTGGAAGGAGTGGAACGATCCCATCTTCACAGGAGATCTTGTGTTAGTAAAAAGAATGGGATGAGTGAACCCGATGCTTATTTTGGATTTTATAATCGTTTTGGTTATTCAAAAATTTGACCCTTCGTGGGGAAGATACCAGAAGCAGTGGACCGGCATATTCCAGCTTTTCACCAGACCTTGGGTTAATAACAATATTGGGATGTGTGTAATATGAAGAGAACCGGATGGTTATTCCGGATTTTATGATCGTTTGGTTATTCAAAATGTTGATCCTTTGTGAGGAAGGTTCCAAAATAAATGGTGATCTATATCATCTTTATAACAGATTTTATTTTGATGGAAATATTGAGATGTACCAGGTCTGCATGGAATCGGGTGATATTTTCGCGTTTTATGAGCTTCAGGGATATTGAAAATGTTAACCCTTTGTGGGGGAGGTACCAGAAGGAGTGGACCGATATATTCCATCTTCACACCAGACACAGGGCTAATAAAAATATTGTGATGTGTGTAATTTGAAGAGAACCCGATGCTTATTTCGGATTTTATGATCGTTTTGGTTATTCAAAATTTTGACGCTTTGTGGGGGAGGTACCAGAAGGAATGGTCCGATCTCTACCATCTATATAACACATCTTGTGTTGATGGAAATATTGAGATGTACCAAGTCTGAATGGAATAGGATGTTAATGTCGCGTTTTATGAGCTTCATGGATATTAAACATTTTAACCCTTTGTGGGGGAGGTACCAGAAGTGGTGGACCGATATATCCCATCTTCACACAAGACCTAGGGCTAATAAAAATATTGTGATATGTGTAATTTGAAGAGAACTCGATGCTTATTTCGAATTTTATGATCGTTTTGGTTATTCAAAATGTTAACCCTTTGTGGGGCAGGTACTTCATGGAGTGGCCCGATATTTTCACACCTGGCCTAGCACTAATGGAAATATTACAATCTGCAAAGTTGGAGCAAAATCGGAATATATTTTCTCTTTCTGTGCAGTAAATTATTCATTCGTTCTTTGAAAATGTTAACATCTTGTAAGGGAGGTACCAGAAGGAGTGGACCGACATTGCCCATCTTCGGTCTCAATCTAAGTTTGACGATAATATTACAATGTACCAAGTTTATACCAAATCGGATGCTCCCTTAGAGTTATCGTGTGCACCAGACAGACAGACGAACGGACATCGCTAGATCGTCTTAAAATGTCATGCAACGGATTCCGTCCGAAGAGACCTAATGGTCTAAAACCGTTATTTCGGTGAGGCACATTTTGGCCGTATCAAATGATATATACCCTTTCTAGCCATATGACAGAGGGTATAAAAAGGAGAAGGCAAGTACAGAGAACCATGAAAAAGTTTTAAAAACCGCAGTTATTGTTCCACGATTATCCTCTTGTTTTCCTTGAGAAAATATCCTCTTAAAATGGATGATTGCTCGAAAAAAATTCTTTAAAAATTCCACGATTGTTGGTCTGATGTTGGTTGAAAATATATTCTCTAAAAATGGATGATTGTTGATCTGATTGTCAATTAAAAGTTATTCATTAATGGTCTGTTGGTCCTCAAAACAATATTCTTTAAAATATCCAGGATTATTAGTCTAATGGTTCATGAAAAAATATTCCATGATTATGGTCGGATATTAAAAAAAAACTATTCCTTAAAAAATCCATGACTTTCGATCCTAAAGTCCATGGAAAAAAAATATTCTTTCAAAATCCATTATAATTCTTCTGATGATACATGGAAAAATAATCTTAAAAAAATCCTAGAAAAAACGAGAGTATATCTCTGTCCCCCTGTGGAAATTTTATCCATTATAACTCTGCTAGTCATTTAGAAAAAATATCATTTTATAAAAAATATATATTTTATTCCATAGTTAACAATAAATTTTCACATATTTAAATTTAGCTCTCAAGTAAATTTTATATTTACTTTGTTTTTTAACAAAAAAATTCATTTAATTTAGTCTGGAAATATAGTTTAATTATATACTCTTCTTATTTCTTTTTCCAAAGTAAAAAAAAATCGAAAATATTTAAAGTAAACTTAAGAATTTTTCGCATGAAATTTAAATTAAAATACCTGAAATTATTTACATCTAGTAAATAAGTATAGTAAAAATATATATACAAAAACATATGTATAATATAGTAATTATGATTAGTTAACGAATAATTATAGTAATTATGATTAGTTAACGAAACTTGAAATTCTTATACAAAGAATAACGAAATTTTTGCAACCAATTCCAAGTTGGTCAAGATGCCTGGGCATCATAACGTTTGGACAACAAATCAGATTTTGTTGCAACTAAAATATTGTTGCAGATGGCCTTATTGCGTAAATTTACATCTTCTGTTAGCAGTAGGAGATTGGGTATTTGGGCTTTGGCTTGTAGACAACAATTTATGATGCTATCATCGGCAGAATTCACATCTATTAGATGTTCACGTTCCTCCAAGGCAGTTTGAGCTAAAAATAAACATTATTAAGAGTTAATTAAAATTTCGATTATTTGAAAATGTTCTCAAAATACCCAAGACATTTTGTGATTTGTTTTCCAGTTTCTTGTTTAAATATTTGATGGCTCTCACAGCTAAAGTTTTGACGCCTTCCTCACGCATCTTTAATTTATCCAATTCCTGCAAAACTCCATAGGGTATGTATAGCATACTGCCCTGGGTATCTAAAAAAAATTAATATTTTAAATTTCAAACTTTCCAAAAAGAGCTTTAGAAAACTCACCACATAGTTTCAACTGAGTTAGGTCTTCAATAAATGTCAGATGATCCAATAACACATTTGTATCCACCACAAAATAATAGTAATCTTTTCTCCACTTGTTATTATTTGCCCTAACATTGGTTTTCTTTTCGGCCGACAAACGTAAGAGATTCTCATTGACAGCATCATAAATATCTCCCATTGTTTCGGGCATTGATTTTGTAGATGGACTTTTCACAATGGGTTTTTCTTTTGGCGGGAGTAATGACAAGTTTGACTCACTGCTTGATATTTCAATGGTTTCGGTGTTGTCTTTTTCAAACGGTTCCCAGTCCATTTCTTCGAATTCTGCAGAGTATTGGAAATATAATTAAAAACTCAGGAAAGAATTTCAATATGGTGTTACTTACCATCATTCAAGGTGTTATTGGCAGTGTGGAATACAGAATTTGATGTCTCATTTAATGTGGAGTTAGCTTCACTTTTTACTGACGGGCTGGTGACAGCGGGCCCGGTGGAAAATCCAGAGTCTTTGGGATAAGGTACTGAGGTATTTGAATGCATTGACTGCTGTTGGGACAAAAGTGATTGTCTTAGGCGTTCCAGTCGAGAATTAGCTGTAAATATGTGCCAATAATCGATTAAACAAATGGTTATTGATTATATTCAAAACTCCTTACCCGATCCCTTGGAATAAGCTGGAATATTAAAATTCTTCGGTGTGCTGGGAGGTGTGGCAAAAGTCAATAAAGATGATGTCGTTGATGTGGCACTGGTATCATGTGAATGTTCCTGGCTCAATGTCTTTTGGGCCTCTCGAAATTCGCTAAGAGTCTGCTGGACAGGAAACGTTCCGAGTTCTAATTTATTTTCAGTCTTCTTATGGGACTTAAAACTAGTTTTAGCCGATAATACCGAAGATTTTGTTTCTATACTCTCAGCTTTGGAACTACGAAATGGTAACTTGCAAATGTCTTTGATTTTATTAACAATACCCGAACGAATATTGCCAATTTTAGATGATTTGGAATTGGTTTTATTAGGTAGATTGTTATTAAGAGATGTTGAAGGTGCCTCATCACAAGGTAACATTTCAGTATCCTCATCCAAAAGATAATATAAATTTGTTGAAGGTGGTGGGCTTTCCTTTTTATGTGAATCAATGGTGTGTGATAATTTGGCTGGTAGTGGAGTAACGAATTGGCTTAAATCTGACTTTTTAATTTTGTTTCCTTTTTCTGCTGTCTCCAAGAGATTCAAATGAGGTCTTTTCGCAGCACGCTTTCTTGGAGAGTCTAGTGTTTTTTTCGGAGAATCTTCTGATTTGTCTTTTCTTTTCGATGGCGTTGTCCTTTCTGCTCTCTCCTTGGAATTTTTTGCAATATTCGAGTCTTTTGTTGTTTTTGCATCCTTCTTTTTTGGTGATTCAGATATTTTAGTTTCGGAAGATTTTTCCTGCTTGACTTTTATTCCATCTAATAATTTATCAGCTTTACTTTTGCTCGAGGTGGACGCTTCCGTTGACTCTTTGGTAAGGGGACGATTCTCTTGCTGGTCCCCTAAGTCTTGTTTAACCTTAATCGCGTCTAGTAATTTTGCAGCTTTCGTTTTGCTCGTGGAAGAAGTTTCTTTGGACTCCACTGTATGCCATCGATTTTCTTGTTGTTCCTTACAATCTTGAGTTTTAGTTAATTTGGAATCGTTTTCCTCCGTATGACGACGTTTGTGCTTCATCTCTTGCTTCTTGGTCTGCTGTAATTTTATTTCATGCTGCAGTCGTTTAAGGCGATCCTGGGCGGGAGTTTTCAATGGTTTAGGTACTAAATGAAGAGAAGAAATCTTATAACTCATTGTCTTGGTAACTTGTTACTTTGGTCTTACCGGATATTCTTGGTGGGGGAGACTCTTCCACTATGCTTTTTTTCTTTGTGGGTGACGTATGTTTTTCGTTGGAATCTCCACTTTCTTCCTTGGATTTGGAGTCATTTGATAGCCACTTATTTTCTCCCGTAGCACGATTGAATAAATAGTATCGTCCAGGCCGACTTTTACTCTGAACTTTTATCCAATCATCTGGCTTCTTTGGTTTCCCTTCATCCATTGTTAGTTGTTGGAAATATTATTAAATTTATGACGAATATCTCCAAAATTATGTGATAATTATGAAATTTTTTTGAAATCGAGTTTAAAATTAATTAATTTAATCACGGCAACGAAGTAGAACTGAAGAGTTGCTGGAGACACATATATGGCTTTTCTATCCATGGACCATTAATTGGAGGTTATGTTGGCGGTCGGGTTTTGTTTATTGTTTTTTTAGTCTTTTAAATCACGCACAATCTCAAATTCTCAAATCACACATATACACATTTGTTCTATTTGTTTCTAAATTATTTATATATAAATTTTTATACGAAATTAAATAATTAATTAATAAATTAATAAATTAAAATCAATCCAACCGACGCCACCGAGAAAAGAAAAAGAACAAAGACGAACAAAGGACACTACAATATGGCAACACTGAAAAGAAAGACAGCACAGAGAGAAAATCGAAATAAAGATGGAATCAAAAGGGAAAGGCCGACAACACAAAAGGAATCAAAACAAAACGGCCGACAACACAAAAGGAATCAAAACAAAACGGCCGACAACACAAAAGGAATCAAAACAAAACGGCCGACAACACAAAAGGAATCAAAACAAAACGGCCGACAACACAGCAACAGATGTTTAAGGTATGAGTTATCATTAGGCAGGCTTCACAGCTGACCGAAACAAATAAGAATGAAAACACATACAACCCGCTAAAAAATAAACAGAAAACAAAACTGCCGTGTTTACGAATGAGGGTTGGAAAACAGAGGACAATGAAAAAGTTATAAAGAAAGGAAATTAATGGAGAGCAGACAACGAAGTGGAACGATTCTTTTTTGGCGGCGGCGTTGGCTCACTGGCGGTAACAAACCAGCGGCGGCGTGTTTCGAAGCAGAAAAAATATTAAATTCATTCTTTTATTAAATTATTAAAAAATAGATAAAAACACAAATTAAAAAAAAATAATGTGGGTTTAAAATTGAATGCATCTCTGATTTGTTATTAGCTATTATAACTGATGGAAATATTGGAGGTTTTCATTAAAGCATAACAGTGGGGAGAAAATTGGGAATGTTTGGGTGCAGTTGTGAGATTTTGAAGAAATTCCACTTAAATACAAATAAACTCGTTTATCATGGTAGAATTTTACACTCTTGCAGTTCTGGAACAGAACTTAAATTAACTCATGGGAAGAATATTTTCAGACAAAAAAAAAAAAAAGACAAAGGGAACTGTTGATGATTTGTAGCTCTTTCCGAAACCATTGTAATTCCCATGGTACAATAAAAAGGTAAGGTAGAGCTACCAGCTGATTACAATATTTTTCTAAGTGTGCCCGACTTCTGCCAATTTTGTGTATGCATTTATTGTTTCGAAAAAAAAATTTAAATCAATAAGTGGAAGAGGCGTACATTGCGAGACGCGCATTAACGCTATTTGCCAGTTTTGCCATGGAATTGAAAGATTGAACAGTTTGGACTATATTTTTGTGCTAAAATCCAGGCATTTCATTTATTTTTCGCGATATTTAACTCATTTTCGAAATGAGGAAAAGTGTGAAAAAATGAAAACAACTTGTTGTATATCATTTTGAATGAGTCTGACAGGAAGCGGGCATAACCTCAGGGTTGAATTTCTCTAGTTTTACGAAGTTGTTCTACTTCCTTATTGTACAATATGATAATCCCTGCCTTACCCCCTCTTCATAATATTTTTCTTTATTACAAATGTTATTTTTGTAAACACAACAATAATGGTATCAGGCCTAATTAATTTGCAGCAATAAAATAGCTCAGATCTTGCAAATAAAACTCCCACACTGCACTCATTTCCCATCAAACTTTACATCTCTGGCTGTCAGAACAAAATAAACGACACATGCACCGGCAAATAAAATCAAACGCCGACAGGGACTACTTTGCGCGCCTTCATAAAACTGAACAGCTGATTTTGTTTGTTTGTGCGAGAGAAACTGACACTGACACAGAGAGAGAGAGAGAGAGCAAAAACTGCCTCTGTCGCGATTTTCTGAATGAAGCCATCGTTGGGCAACGAGAGAGAGAGAGACAATTACGCAGCAGAGCAAAGTGTAAACATTTTTTCCACATACGATAAATTAATAAACCATAATTTTAAACAAAAACAAACTGAACAATACCATTGAACCGCGTGCATTGTGGCGGATGGACGCACCCAATGAACGGAAATACAAACTGCGGTCATCAGTGATAGAGTGAAAGTGTTGTGACTGCCAGACGACGACAGCCTGTTAATTTTCCCACAGAACAGAACAAGTGTACACTGCTTACACTGCTTACTAGAAAGAAGGCAAAGTAGCGTTAATGTGTTTGTTGCTCTCATAATATTCGTTCGTTTGTATATAATACAAAAAAAAGAATGTTTTAATCCTTGACGTAAGAAGAATCACAAGTGGGATAAGATTACTGAGGAATATTTAATTTGATCCTGTGCGTGCGTTTTATATAACAACTTGTTGCCCCCCTTTTTTACGTCGAGGGAGAAGCAGGGCAAGGACTTGAAAATCGGTTTGGATTAAATTTGATTTGTGTGTGCCTGCTGTAGTAATGAAAAAAATTATTCGTTTTGAAGGAGAACAATATTGATTTTGTATACAGCCTGTAGTAACAACAACATAGTGACTATTGAAACTGAATTTTTCCCACCCCCACCCCAACGCCATCACTATTAAAAATAATAGAAGAGGAAACAAGTGTATAGAATGTGGGCATTGCGTATAAAAATAAAATGTGATTAACATTTTAATAGCCTACCTCAGCGTCATCATCGAACAACCAGCTCGGAAAGTTAGTTACAAAAGGCACAAAACATAGAGTACAAAGTCTCGGCAGAATGAAAAACAAAGTTAACCCAAAAGATATACCTTCTATAGATGATTTACAAAGCTTTCCCAATCGACGACCTTTGTTTCTCTTGGATACTCCATCATCGGAGAATGAAAGGCACAAAACCTCTGCATCCTACTCCACAACCGCATCATCATCCGCCTCCTCATCTAGGGGGAAACTATTACTGTGGTCCTCGGTATTGCGCGTTATACAACTTAATTGGAAAATCTTTTTGTCTGCCTTGGCAGTGACACTGCTGGCCATCATTTGGTATTATCCAATTTTCTTTCTCTTCATTCTGTTTGTGTTGTATTCTTTGCTATTGGTTGTTGCCGGTAAGTAATGTCACATCGTTAGTCATGTAATCATGTAAACATTTTTCATTTTTCTGTTTAGAAAGAAAATCTAGTTTATTTTCCGCTTTTCCCTTTGTTGTTTTGTAAAACAAAAAACGACGCCCTTTGATTTGTGGTTGGTCACTTGCCTGCCTGCTTGAGTGGATTCATTGCAGTCTGTTTTAGATATTTAATTTCATTATTATTAGTTTTCATTAAACCTAAATATCAATATCGTAATTCTTATCACATTTGTTTTTTGTTCCCAATGCCACAGCCTGGCCAATGCTAATTTCCACTTTTGTTTATTAAAAAACCAAGCTGATACAAATATGGATCATCAATGATTTTCCGTTAATTTAAATTAAAATTCTTATCTTGAAATTGGGAATTTTCATTACCCCCTCACAACACACACACATACTCACTCACTATCGCAAAACACCAGCAGCGTAACATAATCAAAGTGACCCATTTCTTATCATTTCATTACAATTCCATTTAATTTTTTTAGTTTTCTTCATTATAATTATTTTTTTTTTCCAATATGTAAGTAATAATTTTATCATTGTTGTTTTTGCAGCTGTGGCCGGTACCGTATACATTCATTATTTATTTACAACCAAAGAGCCGCCAAAACCCAATCGTGAACCATTAAATGTTCTCTACAATGCCACCCAGTAAGTATTGAATAATTAAAATGCCATTTGAGAAATGTTAGCAATTAATATTTTTAATTTCCATAAGGTCTTTAGAAGGATCGGGGATTGTAAGGGGGCCATAAGGCCATAATACGGTTCCCTCGTATTTATATATCATGTGATATCATCATTTTTATGAAAATGTCCTGTTTCGTATCATTTTTTACGATAACAGAATGTGGTTTTGTTTTGAAATTTCCACCACGAGTACATCACTCCCTCCATTGTCCATACATAACGAGATATAGCAGTTATTTTTTTGATTTCCTTAAGGTCTTTAGAAGCATCATGGCTTGTAATGGGGCCATAAGGAGGGAACCATATTGATATATCATGTGATCATATCATATTTACCTTTGTGAAAATATCCTGTTTTCATGCATATCATTTTTTTTTGACGATACAGAAGGTTGTTTGCTCCGAAATTTACACCACGAGTTCATCACTTCCTCTTTTGTCCATACATTCTGAGATATAGGCCCACAAAATTTCCAAAACATTCACATGAACTTAAAGCAATTATTTCGATTTTTTCCTTTGGTGAAAATCTGAAACTCCCGGCAATTAAAGCTCAATTATTTCCAGTATTTAAATTGTCGCTTAAATTGAGAAGAATATTTTGTAAGAAAATTTTTTTGCGAAAAGTCCATTTATTTACTTTCAGGTCTTAAAAACTTTGCTTGGAATTTGAACTGCAATATTAAATAGTTTGGTATTATTTTAGATCAAAACAAGTTAAAAGGTATCAGTTGGTTTAGCCGATACATGTATACCCTTAGCCAATACTCAATTTTTTGAATATATTTTGACTTCTGTCATGATTATTCAAATTGTTGACCCTCTATGGAGTAGGTTCCAAAGGAATGGACCTAAATAAATATGATATAAATATTGCGAGGTGTTAGGTTTGGACAATATCGACTACTCCCTTCACTTTATATGAAATATGTGATAATTTTTACAAAATATTGAAATGTGCGTGATGTACCAGATATAGTGGACCGAAATGTTCAATTTTCGAATAATCTTATCTAATCTAATACAGATAAAAATACTGGTATAGACAAAATTACAAGAAAAACTAATATTTATATCCAATTTAATGCGAAATCATAAATTCCAGATTCATCTCAGATTTCTGGTTGAGGTTGTGGGGGAGGTACCAGAAGTAGAGGACCGATATATCCCATCTTCACACCAGGCCGTGGGTTATTAAAATATTGTGATGTGTGTCATTTGAAGAAAACGGATGCTTATTTCGGATATTATGATCGTTTTGGTAATTTTGACCATTTGTGGGGAAGGTACAAAAAACTGGTCCGATCACTACCATTTTTACAACAGATTTTGTGTTGATTGAAATTTCGAGATTTACCAAGTCTGAATGGAATCGGATGTTAATTTCGCATTCTATGAGCTTCATGGCTACTCAAAATTTTGACCCTTTGTGGGGGAGGTAGCAGAAGAATTGGACCGATATATCCCATCTTCACACCAGATCATGGTTTATTAAAAAAATTGTGATGTGTGTAATTTGAAGAGAACCGGATGCTTATTTCGGATTTTATGGTCGTTTTGGTAATTCAAAATTTTGAGGTACCAATAGGAATGGTCCGATCTCTACTATCTTTATAACAGATCTTGTATTGATGGAAATATTGAGATGTCGCGAGTCTGCATCGGACGTCAATTTCGCGTCATGGCTACTCAAAATTTTGACCATTTGTGGGGAAGGTACCAGAAGGAGTGGACCGATATATTCCATCTTCACACCAGACCTTGGGTTCATGAAAATATTGTTATGTGTGTAATTTGAAGACAATCGGAGTCTTACATTACATTTTATAAGAGTTGTTATTATTCAACATTTTGAACCTTTGTGAGGGAGGTACTTGATGGAGTGAACCGTTATTGTCCATATTCGAAGCCGATCTAAGTTTCACAATAATAGTACGATGCACCAAGTTTGGATCAAATCGGATACTCCCTTCGAGAGTTGTCGTGTGCACCAGCCAGCTGGACAGACGGACGGACATCGCTAGATCGACTCCAAATGTCCTAAAACGGATTTGGTCCAAAGAGACCTAGGGTTTGAAACCGTTATTTCGATGAGGCACATTTTGGCCGTATCAAATGATATATACCCTGTCTAGTCATATGGCTGAGAGTATAAAAGTCCTTCAAAAAAATCCTTATGGCTGCAAAGAATCAATAATTTATCAATGAATATTATCCAGTGAAATCGTGTTTTTCTTGTTTTATTTTTACTTTCTACTAATAGACAAAAAACTATTGACTTCACCACAAACCAAAAATTTCAAAACTAATTAATCACTTTCATTTGAGAAATGTTCTATAACGTCATTCCTTCCAAAATGACATAATATCCTGCCTTAGCTTAACCACAATATTTAAATACATAACACTTTCATGTAAATAGTGAAATGTATAGCCCATACCCATGATCATATTTCCAAATCGTTTGCGTGTGATTTGATGACATACACGTCATTATGTTTTATACACATTTAATGAGGTGTGATAGGTTTGATTTATCTAAGCAATTAAACAATAGACTTAAAATGTTGGATATTGGACTCATACAATACTAAAATCCAAAAATTTTCAATAATAATAAAATATTAAAAAAACAAGTAAGCAAAGGCTACAGTCGAGCGGGGCCGACCGTTGAATACCCTACAACACTATAATAAACGATAAAGTTTATAAAGTTTCAAATAATAGCAACTTTAACTAATTTGCTCATTTCCAATTTATTGGTAGATTTTGCACGTAAATGGTCTTCCTAGATCTGAAACCAATATTTCCCAAAGACCTATAACCTCTCAGAAGTGGCAAAAGATTAACATTTATTATTGGTTTTTGACTGAAACGCATCTATATGAGATACAGATATTTGACAATATTCTTCAACGAAATAGTCAGAAGTGCGCCTTTCCTGTATTTGTGAATTCTCCAAAAAGTCACTGGAATGGACATTTTCGTATTTTGTCTACAAAAGTTGGCAAACTCCTTCACACATTGAATATTTTGGGATGGCCATCCAAAACTGCTTGGCTTTTGCAATGTCCGGTAACCCCCATTCAAATGTGCGTGAGGATCTGGCAATAATTACGACCTGCTTACAATTTTGCAGTTTTTTTGGTCCATTTCAACCCCTAAATATATGGCGATCATCTCCAAAAAGAGTAGGCTTCTATTCTGACCCTCATCTTATCCCCATGCAAAATTTCGTAAGGATCGGGCAGTAAATGCGATCTGTATATGATATCCTGATACCCTAACTACTTAGTTTTGTTAGCTGTAGTAATATTACCAAATGTTTAATTCAAAATGAAAATATGCCAAAAATGTGACAAAATTGAAAAAATATGAGAAAATTTTACAAAATCAATATTTTCATCTTTAGAGAGATATTTTTATGCGATTTTTTAGACGTTGTTTCTTTCCTGCCAAGAAGCCATTCTGAATTAATGTGAACTGTCGAAATCAGTTCAGCCGTTCTCGACATATAAGAGATCTTTCAAGCATATCTTCTTTGATAGACATATATATCGCACATATTTTGCTATATATCCGTTTTTTTGGATGTTAACATCAATGTAAAGATCAGAAGTAACCTTATCATGGCTTTGTGATTTTGCCGGGATCTAAAATATTCGCGGTTTAATGAAAAATTTTGAATTTTTTCAACACAAAAGATATGGTCTATTTTACCCGATAAATATTATCCGATGACCACCCAAATTGGTAGGCTTCTTCCCCGCCCTAAACTCTAGCTACATGCGAAGTTCCGCGTCGATTGGTCTATAATTGCGACCTGTATAGCTACTGCAAAATCCGACATTTTTTCAGTATTTGGTCCATTTCAACCCCTAAACATTTGGCGATCATCTCCAAAAGAAATAGGGTTCTATTCTGACCCCAACCCCACCTTCGTGCAAAATTTCGTTAGGATCGGGCCATAATTGCAACCTGTAGAGTGATTACAAATTAACATGGACAGACGGACAGACGGACGGACGGACATACATAGCTAGATCGACTCAGCTCGGCGAGCTAGGAAGATCCATATATACTTTCCTATATGGGAAACCAGTATTTCGAGGTGTTACATAAATTCTGGCCCAATCAAACTTATAATACCCCCAACACATAGTGTTGTAGGGTATAAATACTTATTTTTATTTTTTCCAGAAATAGTCTGAAATCCAAAAATTGTCAATAATAATAAAATATTCAAAAATACTAATTTTTCTTTTTTCAGAAATAGTCTCTTTGACCTACCCAAACCCATTAAGAATGCCTCGAATTTACCACTTATCTTTGGGAAAACGGTGGACCTACAAATACAACAAATTATCGAATATGTTCTTAGAGATTTTATGACACCATGGCTGGGGTAAGTAAGAAATTGAATTTAGTTTTCTTTTTGTTTAATTTAAATAATATCTTATTTTCCTGCAGCTATGTTGTCACCAAACCAAAATTAATGAATGACATTGTCCGTGAAGATTTGTGGAATGCCATACAAAAAATGCATGAACGGGCCAAGAAAATCGATGCACCCAAGATCATAGCTGTCGACATGGTTAACAGAGTAACAGTGCATTTGGAGAAGATACGAATATCGGAGGCACGAGCGTAAGTTGTTGAAAAAGGGGAAAAAGATAAACTTAGCAGGTCTCTTACTCCGAGTATTATCCATGAATATCCAACACCCGTGTATTTTTATACCCTCAGCCATATGGCTACAGAGGGTATATATCATTTGATACGGCCAAAACGTGCCTAAAGGAAATAACGTTTTTAGATCCTAGGTCTCTTTGGACCAAATCTGTTTCAGAACATTTGGAGCCGATCTAGCGATGTTCGTCCGTTCCCATGTGTGTCTGGCTTGCTGGAGTATCCGATTTGGGGGAGTATCCGATTTGATCCAAACTTGGTACATCGTAATATTTTTTGTTAAACTTAGATCTAGTTCCGAGATGGGCACTCCTTCTGGTACCGGTCCACTCCTTCTGGTACCTTCCCCACAAAGGGTACATCGTAATATTTTCGTTAAGCTTAGATCGAGTTCGGAGATGGGCAATATCGGCCCAATCCTTCTGGTACCTTTCCCACAAAGGGTACATCGTAATATTTTTGTTAAACTTAGATCGAGTTCGGAGATGGGCAGTATCGGCCCACTCCTTCTGGTAACTTCCCCACAAAGGGTCAACATTTTGAATAATTACAACTCTTATAAAATGTGATTTAAGAGTCCGATTGGCTTTAAATTTCACATATTCCAATATTTTTATAAAGTCAAGGTCTGCCGTTAAGATGGATTATATCGGTCTACTCCTTCTGGTACCTACCCCAAAAAAAGGTTCAAAATTTTGAATATCTATGAAGCCCATATAATGCGAAATTAATTTCCGATTTCATTCAGACTTGGTACATCTCAATTTTTTCCTCAACACAAGATCTGCTACAAAGATGGTAGAGATCTGGTACCTCCCCCACAAAGGGTCAAAGTTTTGAATAGCCAAAATGATTATAATATCCGAAATAAGCACCCGGTTCTCTTTAAATTACACACATCACAATATTTTTATTAACACAAAGTCTGGTGTGAATATGGAATATATCGGTCCACTACTTCTGGTACCTCCCCCACAAAGGGTCAAAAATTTGGAATATCTATGAAGCTCATATAACGCGAATTTAATTTCCGATTCCATTGAGACTTGGCACAGCTCAATATTTCTATTAACACAAGATCTGTTAAAAAAATGTTAGAGATCGGACCATTCCTTCTGGTACCTCCCCCACCAAGGGTCAACATTTTGAATAACAAAAAACGATAATAAAATCCGAAAAAAGCATCCGACTCGCTTCATATTTTACACATCCCATTATATCTACTAACACAAGATCTGCTGGAATATATCTGTACACTCCTTCTGGTACCTCCCTCACAAAGGGTCAACATTTTGAATATCAAAAACCAGAATAAAATCCGAAATAAGCATTAGGTTCTCTTCATATTTCACACATCCCATTATCTTTGCTTACACAAGATCTGGTGTGAAAATGGGATATATCGGCAGAATCCTTTTGCTACTTCCCCCACAAAGGGTTCAAGTTTTTGATAAACAAACGCAAAAAGAGCATCTAGCTCCCATCAAATTTCACACAACCAAACATTTTTGCATGTTTAAATGGCCTTCGAGGATTTTTCCAAAGGCCAACAGGCTCCCCTCTCCCGGCTTTTGAGGAAATCTGTGTAATCGATACATTCCATTTTTTACTTCCAGGGCCGAAATGAATGTGGCGCCAGTGTTTTCAACAAATTCCTATTTGGTTACCGAAGAAAAAGAACTGGAATTCTTAAGGAAGTTGTGTGAAATAATGGTTATACTTTTACTACCGCGAGGTTACTCTCTGCCGCCATTGAAGGTGCTGCTAAGTGAGATACTTTCGTATAAAAGTAAGTGTAGAATCTCATCTAATATTCCAGTTGATTAAAAACATTCTCCCTATCTTTTGTTTCCAGTTTTCTTTCCCATGATAAAAATGTTAACCTCACCGGACTATATCAATCAGAAAATTGTACAAAACATTGAAGGACGTTTGGCGGCGGCAGCCATCAGCAAACGTTCATATGAGTATGCAGCAAGTTTTGAAGATTTCCTCAAAATAATCAACAATTGCGGCAATCTGGAAGAGTTGTCGCTAATACGCAAAAGTATTGTCAACGATTTGATGCATGCAACAACAGTACAAAATCTCCAACGTGCCAAAGGTATTGATCCCGACAATGATCCCGATCACAATCTTTCTAAATCGGAAATATCCGCTGCTGTACGTTTGAAGCGTTATGTTCAACAACTGACCTATGCCAAGAATATGTGTGAAAAAAATTTGGAGAAATTCGGTTGGAATGGCAACTATTCAAGTGATTTGGATTTATCGTTGGTGGAGATACTAAACACCGCCATTGGCAGGCGTTATTTTACGATATTTTTGGAACCCCTTAAGGCCAGTGCTTTGGTGGGTTTCTATATGGCAGTGGAGGAAATGAAACATGCCCCCAAAAACTCAGCCCATCAGCTAGGGACGGAAATATTCTACACCTATATACGAGTACCGAAATCCGAATTACAATTCGACAAACATGAACGAAAACTGATTGAAACATTTCTGCTCGGTGATTCTGGACCAGAAATATTCTATGATTTGCAAAAACAAGTCCTTAGAACACTGGAGGAGAAATACTATCCCCCGTTTGTACTGAGCGAACAATATCGTCTACTCAAGGAGGCATTGGACTCTGATGACTATAAAGATCCCACCTTAATAGTTGGTGCCCTGAGTGATAATCACGAAGAGACATCGGCAAGTTTAGATGGTCTGGAGGCCAATAGTTCAGGTACCATAGATGTGGCGGCCCATACATCGTATGCTCGCAAAAAGTTGGAACAAATTCAGGAGAGAATAGATAAGAAAAATCAAGCCTTAGATGCTTTAAAATACTCAGTGAAACCTGATTCCAAAGTTTTGCAAATTTTGGAAAAAGAAATGGAATGGCTGAAAAACATCAAACGGCAAACGGAGGCCCATTTGCGTCGTACCGATGCGTGGACAGAACATTTGGGCCGTTGGAAGGCCACATTACAAAGTGTTGAGGTAGGTTTTTGAAATGTTTTCTTTTAATTGTTCTTTAATTTTTTGCCATCATTTTCTTGCAGATTTCCGATGAAAAAGAATCGTTGCAATTTATGATTTTAGTCCACGTAGACGAGGATATTAACACTCCAAGTGCGTTGAAACAATCGTCGTCGGGAAAGGTGGAGGCCAGACCTGGTAGCATATCTAGTGGTTGGGTGGTCATGAGATCACTAAATCAAGTTCATGTAAGTGCTTAGAATTCTCGTATTTATTTGTATGACATTGTGATTAAGACCCGGTTAACAGTCCACCAGTTTCGTCCTTAGAGCAAAGACTGTGCGAACTCTCTTTTCAAGATATTTTTTTCAGCGACCATTTAACAACCAGGAATATATAATATATTTAACAACATTTTCCAACGCGCATCCAACGTGGATTTCTTAAGAATTTTATACTGACGAGTTATTGTGGATTTTTGGGAAATTTATACGGACGAGTTATCGTGAATTTTTAAGAATTTTTTTCAAAGACTATCGGCTTTTAGACACGCTCTTTTAAGTATAAATTTTCACGAACCATTATAAAAAATAATCCTGGATTTTTAAGAAATTTCTATTGGATGCCGTTGGACAAGAAATCAAGCTCTTTTACGAATTTTTCATCAATGAAGAAGAGTTTTTGAGGTATATTTGATATTTTTCAAGAATCAATGGGCATAGTGTCTGGAATTTTAAGAATATTTTTTCAAGGACCAATGGATCATGGATTTTTTAAGGAACTATTTCCAAAGAAAGAATAAGAATAAATTTTCATTTCTTAACATTTTTCAATGACCAATATTTTTGTTCTTTTACCAGCAATATATTTCATTTAGTACCACTTAGTACTTTTTGAATAATTATAGTACAAATTTCCAAAACCACCTCCATATCTCAACTCCAGATACCAACAGAGACCTCAAATCAAATTTCGCATTGCCAAACCACCACCAAATCTCATACACAGATGTCATTAGTATTCTTAATATTAAATGTCGGAGTTTTATTTCTATTCCTTCACCCTTTTTATTTTTCGTACAAATTTAAGACACATTCCCAAAACCCACCTCCATATCTGAATCCCAAATACCAACTGAAATCTCAATATCAAATGTCGGGATTACAGATCTATCCCTTAACCAAATATCAAATTTAGTACCCCTTAGCACTTTTCGAAAAATTTCAGAGGCACCAACAGTGACATTTTTGGATTCCAGCTCTATTCCTTCACTAAGTAGCAATTATGGTAGCATTTAGTACTTTGTACGCATTTCAGATACCAACAGTGACCTTTATATCAAAATCCAGGATTTCAGCTACTTTTCCTCCATTACGAAATTAAGCACACTTAGTACTTCTCGTACAATTATCGTACACATTTCCAAAACCACCTCCATAACTCAATTCCAGATACCAACTGAGACCGCAATATCAAATTTGAGTATTCCAGCCCTATCCCTCCATCCAATACCAAATTTAGTACCATTTAGTACTTTTCGTACAAATATGGGATGCATTTTCAAACCACCGCCAAATCGCAAAAACAGATACCACACATGAATACCAAATTTCAGATTTAAAACACTAACTGTTCACCGAATACCAAATTGTACCAATTGTACCAAATATAGTACTATTTAGTACTTTTCGTGCACTTGTAGGACACATTTCCAAAACAACCTCTTTATCACAAACCCAACACCAACTGAGGCCCCAATACAAAATTTCAAAATTCAAACTTCATCAGTTCCCCCCAAACCAAAATATTACAAATTTTGTACCACTTAGTACAGTTCGCACACTTAGTACACATTTCTAAAAACCATCTTCATTTACCAAACTTAGTTTCCACCCTTGATTCTCATGCCAAATTTTAAGTTTTTAGCTCTTTCTCTGTTCACATAATAACAAATGGTACCATTTTAGAAGTTTCGTACCATTTTAGCATTTTTGGTACCCTAAAGTTCGAATTACTAAGAACCCCTTAGAATATCTTTCCTCCTCTGTGACTTTTATTCCAAACTTCAGAATTACAGCTCATTCCATGTATTTGTGTTGGACAAAGTATTAAATTTTTTGGACTATTTTAGTACTTTTCGTACTCTTCAGAATCTATTTCCAAAAACAAAGACATATCACACGCCTACGACTATCATAGCCTCCATATATTAAATTTACTTTCCAACCTTGATGCTCATAGCAAATTTCAAGTTTTTAGCCCTATCCTTAGAAGTTTAGTAACATTTCAGAACTTTTCGTAACCATAAAGTTCGAATTTTCTAAAACCCTTTGTTACTTTTATCTTGCACTCCATCAGTGACTGTTATTTCAAATTTCAGAATTCTAGCTCATTTCGTTTGTACATTTTATTCCATTTCGAACTACCCTGCCATAGCACACGCCTAAGCACCAAGACTGACCCTCGTGCAAAATTTCAAGATTCTAACTTCAGGCGTTTCGTTTGGGTATTAATTCTCAGTCAGCCAGTCAGTCAGTTATTTCACTACTCCTTTACATATATCCGAATCAGGAACTATAATTTTTAAAATTATTTTTTAAAGATCAAATCATTTTTAATTTTTTAAAAATTTTATTTTTTTTTATCGATGCAAAATGGTCGGGCTTAATCCCTTTTTTTATAAAAACAAATGTTTTTTTTCAAATATTTCATTTTTAAAAATATTTTTTTTTTTCAAAGACCACTTCTGGATTTTTTAAATGTTTCAATCAATAGTCGATTTTTTTTGTGATCTATTTTTAAAAGTTCTACCAACTTTTGTATTTTTCTTAAATGTTTCTTTTAAAAATGGACAATTGATATACTTTAAATTTTAATATAAAAAAAATAGATTAAAAAATCAATGCCCCGGGTGAGGCTCGAACTCACGACCTTAAGATTATGAGACTTACGCGCTGCCTACTGCGCCACCGAGGCATGTTTGGTTGCGGTTGTCAAAAAGCCAACACAAACATGACGGCAAATATTCGCACAAATTCGCAAAGCAAAATAACCAAAAGGTTCTAATCGATGTTATTGTTGTTGTTTTTTCTTCTAATTTTAGGAGTTGCAAAGAAAACTACGACATGTCAGTGCCAATCTCAAATCATATGATTTACCAACAAATTTTAAGTTTTTCTTTTTGAAAAATGATAAACATGCCCTGGAAAAGGCCAAGCAACAGATACAACGGTTTATTAATGTGAGTAACGGTGAATTATTTTTAAATTTAAAATTTTAATCAAATTTTGTTGTTTCAATTTTCAGATGATTTTAGAAGATGACCATCTGAATGGCAGTGAAGCCATCTACACTTTCCTCAGTCCCAGTTCGGATCATCTGAAACAATCACTACCCTCACCAAAAAAATCGAAATTTTCACTTTCGACTCTTTTCAAAACAGAAACTGTAAAAAGTTCAGATTCATCATCGAAAAGTTCATCGACAGATCCTTTTTGGGGTTTACAGCGAGACGATGAGGACATATCGACGTATTTGGAAGGTGTTCCGGCCGGTGATAATAAGTTGTTGGCCGATTTGGATAGCAAGGATTCGATAGCGGAGCCATTGTATGCCTTGATGGGTGAAATTTTCGATATGGGCGGTGTGTTCAAGTGGCTGCGTAAAAGTCTTATATCGTTTGTACAAATTACCTATGGTAGAACAATTAATAGGTAAGGAGGGGAAAATGATTGTTACTGGTTATTTTTTAATAGCTGAAATTTGGTCTGCTACAGAACTGCAAGAATGCAGAAGTTTTTGCTACGATAACCGATGATATCGAAAAATATATTTCAAAAATAGTAGATTCTTGAAGGTACTAAAAAGGGCGATTGTTGAAAAAATAGAAAACTCATTCGATGTCTTCATTTGCGAAAAATTGAATTGCTAATATTCAAATTTTCACAAATGAATTGCCCTGTTCCAGAACAGCAATAATTTAAAAGTGTTTACCTTATGATATCGAAAAAAAAAATCCAAAACTAGTATATTGTTGCAGGCTCTGGAATATATCCAATATCAACAATTCCCTAACTTAATAGTACTTACTAATAACATTTAAATTGTATTTTCAGGCAAATTCGTGAATCTGTATCATATTTGTTTGAAGAATCAATGCTGCACTATTATTTTTCTGCGATATTGAAGTCGTTCTGGCCCGGTGGGGTATTGGCCTCAGCCTATCCAGTTAGATCGGATGATATGAAAGAGATGACAACAAATGCGGCTAAAGCTTTACTCATGGATAATATCCCAGAGGTATTGTGTAATTTGGTTGGTGCTCAAGCAGCTAAACGGGGAATACTGAAGGTGTTCGATGCCCTACAGAATCCTGTCTATAATAAGCAATTGTTTTATGTAAGTATATGTGAGGGTATTAGTTGGTCATACGGAATTAAATTTTAATCAGATAAAATAATCGGCTATACTGGAGATCATTTGGAAAACATCAGAAATTAAAAATCTATGTAAAGGGAGTCCCAACTAGAATGCAATTTTTAAAGTGTAACTTTAATGTATCGTAATGTAAACAGAATTAGGTTATGTATGCGACAAGATATCGTACAAATGGCCGACGAGGCTTTGCTGTTGGTCGTTGATATTTTCAATGTGGTTTCAAGAAGATGGCTTCAAGCGTCGTATAACCAGAGTAACAATTCAACTGCTGTCTCAGTCATTTTCCGGCCGTGTTATTTCGCGTTTTTGAGACCAGAATTGGCCGCCTAGGTCGTACGATTTAACGCCTAAATTAAATTATTTTTTTTTCTTTTAGGGGGTTTGAAGTTCTTCGTTTACGCGAATAATTCGTCGACTACTCAAGCCGCTGCATTCGGATACCAATTTCCCCTTTTAAGGCTTCAGTCGTCGTCAACTTATTCTCGTAAACCGAAAATAACACGACCATAGCTGACTGAGACAGTAATTGAATTCTTTCTCTGGTTATACGACATTTGGAGCCGTGTTCTTGAAACAACATGCCCTCGACATTCATTTCTCCAATTCTTGTCCAAAAAAAACTGTTTATCATTTCAAGGTACCGATTTCCGATTTTACGATTGCGTTCTAGCTGGGATACATTTTATATAAAAGAGTAGTGAAATATCTGACTGACTGAGAAGTAACGCTCGGACGAAACGGCTAAAGTTAGAATCTTGAAATTTTGTATGAGGGTTTGTATTGGTGTGTAGGTCTGATTTTTTTTCGAAATTCTTACCTAAAGGGTACGAGAAGTACTGAAATGTACTAAAAATTTAATACTTTGTATTGGACAAAACGGAATGAGTTAGGATTCTGAAATTTGGAATGAGAGTCACTAATGGAGTGCAGGATATATTTTGAAATTCGAAATTTTAAGATTACGAAAAGTTCTAAAATGGCACTAAAATTCTAAAATAGTACAATTTGGTATTATGTGAACGGATAGATCTAAAAACTTGAAATTTAGTAGAAGAATCAAGGTTGTAAACAAAGTTTGATATGGAAATGCGGTTTTGGAATTGTGTTCTAAAGTCGTTTCGGTATACAAAGTGTGCGAACTGTGCTAAATGGTACGAAATTTGGAACAGTTTTTTTAAGGGTGAACGGATAAAGTTGGAATTTTGTATTGGGGTCCCTTTTGGTAGGTAGGTTTGTGATAATGAGGTGGTTTCAGAAATGTGCTGCGCATGTGCGGCCTGGACATATGGTATTGGTTGAGGGGATATAGCTTGAAATTCCGAAATTTAAGGTTGAAGTCTTAAGGTATCTTGGATTGAGGTATGGGGTGTGTTTTGGCAATGTGTACTATGATTGTACGAAAGTACAAAATGGTACTAAATTTGGTATTGGTTGAAGGGATAGAGATGGAATTCTGAGATTTGATATAAAGATTACTGATGGTGTTTGAGATTTTGTGGTGGTTTAGCAAAGGCGCCCTATTTTTGTAAAAAGTACTAAATGGTACTAAATTTAGCAATGGTTTAAGGGATAGGGCGGGAATATTCAAATTCGATATTGAGGTCTCTGTTGGTATCGGAAATTATGTAATACAAGTGCACGAAAAGTACTTAATATTACTTTTTTGGTACAATTTGGAATTGGGTGAACATATAGTGCTTGAAACCTGAAATTTGCTATTAGGGTCGACGTTCATGTGTAGCCTGGACAGAAGGAGTTGTTTGTATGAAAAGTACAAAATGGTACTAAATTTGGTAATGGGTGGAGGGATAGAAATTAAATTATGAAATGTGATGTTTAAATTACTGATGGTGTCTGTTTGAGATTTGGCGGTGGTTTGGAAATGCGTCCTATATTTTTTCGAAAAAGATAAAATGGTACTAATTTTTTTTGGTTAAAGGAATAGGGCTGGAATCTTCAAATTTTATATTGAGGGGTCTGTTGTCATCTGGTATTCAGATATGGAGGTGGGTTTTGGAAATGTATACAACAAGTCCACGAAAAATACTAAATAGTACTATATTTGGTACAATTTTGTGTTAAGAGAAGAAATTTGAAATTTGGTATTAGGGTCTCTGTTCATGTGTAGTCTGGACATATGGAGTTGGTTTGTATCCTAAATTTGTACGAAAAATACAAAATGGTACTAAATTCAGTTTTGGGAGAAGGAATAGAGATAAAATTCCGACATTTAATATTAAGAAGACTGATGACATCTGTGTGTGAGATTTGGCGGTGGTTTGACAATGTATCCCATATTTGTACGAAAAGTACCAAATGGTACCGAATTTGTCATTGGGTGAATGGATAGTGCTGGAATCCTCAAATTTTATATTGAGGTCTCTGTTGGTATCTGGAATTGAGATATGGAGGTGGTTTTGGAAATGTGTACTACAATTGTTCGAAAAGTATTAAATGGTACTAAATTGGGAATTGGACGAAGGGATAGAGGCAGTATCCCGAAGATTAAAATTGAGGCCCCTGTAGGGATCTGGGATTGAGATTTGATGGTGGTTTCGGAAATGTGTACTATATATTGTACGAAAAGTACAAAATGGTACTAAATTTGGTATTGTTTGCAGGGATAGAGACGGAATTCTGAAATTTGAAAATTGAAAATATGAATACTTATGGTATCTGTGTTTGAGAATTGGCAGTGGTTGTATGTGTGCTACATTTGAACGAAAAGTACTAAATGGTACCAGATTTGACATTGGGTGAAGGGATAGGGCTGGAATCTTCAAATTTGATATTAAGGTCTTTGTTGCTATCTAGCATTGAGATATGGATGTGGTTTTTGAAATGTGTACCATAATTGCTCGAATAGTACTAAGTAGTACTACTTTGGGAATTGAGTGAAGGAATAGAACTGATATCACGAATTTTAATATAGAGAGGTACAGTAAATGGGGGCTATACCTAAACGTGGACCAATATAGCCCATTTTCAATACCAAAAATCCTGCAGACCAAACACACATTTGAGTAAAATTTTATGAACTTACTTCAATTCGTTCGGAAGCTAGAGTGATTTACACAGACGGACAAACGGATCGCCATCGTTAAATCGACATAGAATTTTATGCTGCTCAAGAATATATACATTTTGTGGGGTCTAAAATGCATATTTCGAGATGTTACAAACGGAATGACAAACTTAATATACCCTCCATACTATCGTGGAGGGTATAAAGATGAACGAATCTAAATTTTAAGGTGGACTTTTCGCTGACGAAGTAGCAGACGCTTGCTAGTAATTGTATTTTCTATTGTATTTGGAAAGGCCAACAATCTAACCAATCCCTAACCAAGATTTTTAATAATTCATTCGAATATTTTTTATTTTATGTTTTCCCAGGAACTCTTGGAAATTCTAATGATGGAATTCTTTCCCGAAATTAAACAATTGAAAATACATGCACCCACACCGACACTACACTCGAACCAATCACATTCCACGGGTGCTGGAAATAGCAGCAGTGGTGGAATGGGCAACAACAGCGCTGCCGGTGGTAGTGGATCTTCGAATAAATCTCACAATAATAACCAAAGCGATAAATATCACCAGCAACAACAGCAATATTATGGTGATAGACACCAAACCCACCATGGCAGTGATAAACATTCTAACAATCATCATCAGCAGCAGCAGCATTCCCACCATCACACAGGAAAGTAAACAAATTTGAAGTGTTGTTTTTTTTTTCTTTTCTTTCATTTAAGTTATTTATTAAAGCCATACCATGTTAAATATAAAATAAATTTAAATTAGGTGCTAATATTGTATATGTATTGTAAAAAAGATATATAGCTATATTATATATGTAAGTGTAGTAGAATTCATGTTGATTCCCATAAGAAAAGCTTTAATTTCATTGTTTGTATTCCACTTTTGCGAAGAGACTTTGATTTTTTAATTTGAAATTCCAAAATTTTAATTTCAGACTTGATACTAGCTGGGGTTTTTATCTAACTTCTCTCTCTCTCTCTTAATGTGTGTGATGTTCTATTTTAATGGAAACTTTATTTTGTAACAAAATATTTATACACAATATATATTATACATAACTATATATATAAAGAACTTTTTTTTAGTATAATGGAAATTTTAAAACAAAAAAAATAAATAATCATACAGGATCTTTCTCGACATTATATCATAGAGTCTACACAGTATTAAAATGAAACAACAAAAACAGAAGAACAAAAAAACTTGTAATAATCATAATTTTAAGTAATTTACATTCCAAAGATAAATTTGGTTTAGTCACTCAGTTTTTATGTAGCGAAAATTACATATTTTGGCAAAACAAACAAAAATATTTATCCATTTCGAAATTATTTTTTTTTTTATTTTAATTAGTACAATGCATTTGTTGTTATTTTATGTATTTTATTTATGAATTTACTCGAATGTCCCAAAAAAAAAAAAAAAAACTAAAATAAAATCACATAACACGAATAAGTACTATTTTAACCATACAATTTTGTGAATCCAGTGCTAGTAAACAGAGAGCCACATTCTGGTCTTTTTTATACCCTACAACACTATGTGTTGGGGGTATTATAAGTTTGATTGGGCCAAAAATTATGTAACACCTCGTAATATTGGTTTCCCACATAGGAAAGTATATATGGATCTTCCTAGCTCGCCGAGCTGAGTCGATCTAGCTATGTATGTCCATCCGTCCGTCTGTCCGTCTGTCCATGTTAATTTGTAATCACTCTACAGGTCGCAATTATGGCCCGATCTTCACGAAATTTAGAATGTAGGTGGGGCTTGGACCAGAATAGAACCCTATTGCTTTTGGAGATGATCGCCAAATGTTTAGGGGTTGAAATGGACCAAATACTGAAAAAATGTCGGATTTTGCAGCAGCTATACAGGTCGCAATTATAGACCAATCGACGCGAAATTCCGCATGTAGATAGAGTTTAGGGCGGGGAATAAGCCTACTAATTTGGGTGGTCATCGGATAATATTTAGCGGGTAAAATATACCATATCTTTTGTGTTGAAAAAAATTCAAAATTTTTCATTAAACCGCGAATATTTTAAATTCCGGCGAAATCATAAAGCCATCACAAGGTTACTTCTGACCTTTACATTGATGTTAACATCCAACAAATCGGATATATAGCAAAATATGTGCGATATATATGTCTATCAAAGAAGATATGCTTGAAAGATCTCTTATATGTCGAGAACGGCTGAACTGATTTCGACAGTTCTCATTAATTCAGAATGGCCTCTTGGCAGGAAAGAAACAACGTCTAAAAAATCGCATAAAAATATCTCTCTAAAGATGAAAATATTGATTTTGTAAAATTTTCTCATATTTTTTCAATTTTGTCACATTTTTGGCATATTTTCATTTTGAATTAAACATTTGGTAATATTACTACAGCTAACAAAACTAAGTAGTTAGGGTATCAGGATATCATATACAGATCACATTTACTGCCCGATCCTTACGAAATTTTGCATGGGGATAAGATGAGGGTCAGAATAGAAGCCTACTCTTTTTGGAGATGATCGCCATATATTTAGGGGTTGAAATGGACCAAAAAAACTGCAAAATTGTCGGCAGGTCGTAATGTAGCATATAACGTCTGTATGTATGGTTGGTGTTGTTGTTGGGTTATACACTGAATGGTATGCACGCTTTAAAGCCAGCCTTCTGCTCGCCGGAGGGGGGGTTCCAAAAATATCAATGTCCCAATGCCATTGTGCTACATGAACTATATATTATTTGCGTGCATGAAAAAGATGTTGATAAATACATAAATCTCAAAAGTGTATGTTAGGAAACGGAAGACACTGCCTACGCATGCCTAGCTGTTTGGAGAGAAAGATGTAGAAAGAGGAAACGGACATAAACCAAAATGTTGCAGAGCGAACTGATGTTGTGTTGCTCGACATGCCCACCCAACCTAGTTGCAACAAAACAAATTCCATTAATACAAGTCGTGTTGCAACCCTTAATTGCTACAGGAAACCTTCGCCTACATCCGAGAGATATCAAACAGATATTTTTATTCTATTATTCGCAACACATGCTTGCGCTTTTATTAATATTAAATTTGAACATGATTAACTGGTAATCTTAAGAATCAGATTAACAAAGTAAAGAAAAAAAATAAAAATGAAAATATTTGACTTAATCTAACACCTTATAGTAAAATTAAATATATAAAACAAGAAACAAGATAACAAGTCTAAATTGTTTGTAAGAAAGAGTACCATTTCTTGGCATAATTTTTTTTTTTTTTTTTTTAAAATAAAATCACTTCTTTTACTTCAAACTCTGATCTCAAAAAAAATTTCCCCATCAAACATTTAAAGGTCAACAAAATCACCATTTAATACTCATATCGCAGTTAAATAAGAGTATATTCACAGGCTTATACATAACTCTATACAGATTTATCAAAGAGAATAACAAAATAATTATTCGGGATTAAAGAAAGGTGGCCAAATCATATTTGAAAAAAAACGACATATTAATTTTTGATTGTATTTCCTTCATTCATAATCTTTCAATTCATTTAAATTATTAAAATGACGAATTCTAAGTAATTTCATTTCAAATATCAAATCATATGTTCACCTTTCTTTTGTATTGCTATTCTCTTTTCTTTATCGTATTCTCACCAAAAAAAATCAAAATAAGAGGTTAATGACTTACGTGCTTTGTTGATATGCTCCCTCGTTGAAAGTACTTTCTCAGAGATGAAGTTACAGCAACAACAGCTTAATGGTGTAAATGTGCATGTAATAAGAGATGCGGATAATTCAGACGTAAGAGACTGTGATAATCGAAATTGTTGTGTCATGCATGTTGGGTCGTTGTATGTTTGACTGACATGTTGAGATCAAACAATAATCTTTAGTGGAGATTTTTATGATATCAACCGCAACGTTTGAAATCGAACATAACTGCACACGCAGCACATTCAACTGACAGGTTTAATGATCATTATTAATTTTGTAATCAGGTGATAAATATGTAATTCGAGTGTGTAGCAGCTAATGTTCTATACCAAACGCCACGGAATTTACAAAATTCTTGTTTTGTTGTTTCTTTTTTTTTTTTTTATACTTTTGCAAAGAAAAAAAAAACAAAAGAATGCAGAAAAATTAATTTAAATCAAAGAAATGAAAGTAACACTTTTTTTAAAGAAAAATTAGGATTCACAATATTCACTAAATATTATAATGAAGTTTACGTTGTTTCGCTTGAGTTTTTTCTTAATATTTCGAACGTGGGAACTATTTCTTTTGCAGAATTAAATATCATTTTGTCGCCATTCCAATTTTCGGTCACATTCTAGTTTATGTATATATGTAGATTTCCGCTTGCATTTTTGCTTTAGTTTTGAGAATTTTATGATGGAAATTGCAGATTTTTGTACACGACAACGCTGTACCGTCTTTCCTTATTTTTTTCGTAGCTCTTCTCTAGCTTATTTACTCACTACTAATCGTTGCTAAATGAAACCAATGATCAAGCCTAGGTATGTTGGGACGAATTATGATGTGGAACAACAATAATGATCATAAAAAATGAGTGAGGATAAAGCACATGTGATTGCAGCACAGTTGTTCCGATTTCGGTTCTCTCCTTCCATACGAAGTTACGATAAATACCTGACAAACCAAATGATATTGCGTATTAATTTCTGAGAATACAAAATTTAGTAAAGGAAGGAATATAGACAATATCAAAAACAAATCCATTTACCTTGTTAATAGGCCAATGCGGGAAGATGGAAGCGAAGTAAAATAGATGATCAACTGAGCTTACGATTTTAATAAAAAGTATGAAATTACGATACTGCGCGAAGGTATATTCTGAGAATAAGAAAATTTTTAAGCAAAAATATATACACTTTCTTTAATATTAATTCGAATCGGCAACGGGCAGAGTACTTACAGAAAATTAAAATCTTTTTCCACAATATAAAAAAAAACTGCAATTAACCAAATTATCTACTGATAAATGACAGGGAAATTTGCACCACTTCAGAAATTTTTGTAATTGAAGGTGTTGATCGCTGGACTCTGTTACGGCAAAATGGACGATTCTTATGATTTTTGGTGAGATGAAACCTTCTTTAATCTTCCAAGCAATCATTGTTTCCAAAAACTTTAGAAAATGGCTAGCATGAATGTGCAGAAAAACGACAAAAGGGTTGATAGAAATCTTTCGCAATTCCATTGAAACCTGTCGTATAGAGGTCGCCTATTCAAAAAAGCAGTTGAAAAAAATTGGATTTAAAAAAAAAAAAAAAATAAATAATAATAACGAAAGTTTTGAAATATTTTAACAAGTTGCAAGCGCCATTACAATTCCCCCCACCAAAATCAGACTTTGGGGGTAAGGATATTTACAACCAAAGCTGATAACGCTTGCATAAAGAACTATTGCCGTATATCCTTGGTATGATAAATACCGACGAGATTACCACGGAGATCCTCTAGTTCATAAGTAGAGTTACCAAGTTTTCGACGAACTCGGGCCTTTATAAAATTTGGAGCCAATTTGGAATTATATCCCTGTGCAAAATTGCTTTGCTTAAAATTCCGGCGAAATACTTCTTGGCCTACAACATATGATACCTCTTTGGATCGCAGATTATAGGCTTTCTCATTTCTCTGGAATTGTTTCTGGATAAGATTTCTAGCTCTATTCCCCATTATGGCTAGAGAGTCATTTTTATTAAATCTTACTGTTCTATCTTCCAACAT